CCAATATTTAATTAATCCAATTAATTAAACTCGGACCGTGAATTAATTAATCCAATTAATTAATTCGAGAACATAAATAACAAATTCAATTAATTAATTTATCCAACGATTGTTAAATTAACCAATTGGCAATTTGCAATCTTCCAATTCTCTTTTGTGTGCGACCCATTAGGTTCTCGACCACGATACCTAACGTCGTGAAATATTATTTTGATCTAATCAAAATTGATAAATTAATACACCCTTTTAATTTATCGTCAATTCACACTCGCCGTCCCTGATTGACATCTAGCAATGTGTCAGAGCAATACATGTGACGGGAAATGTCACGTGGTATGACAAAATCAAATTCGTTCGTTTACCGTGAAACTATTATCCCTTCGTCAATACGACCCGATCAATTACGAGATATGGAATTGTGTCAATCTCGATCATTGATCATATCTTTCACTCCACTATTAAGTCAATATAAATCGAAAACTCCTTTTCGACTTATGAGTACACCTTGGCCAAGGATTTCATCATCGACTTAATTGAATGAAACGCAGGTCATAATCTCCTCCTATCTAAGAGTGACGAATCCTTTATTGATCAATCACAACCTTCATACGATTCTTGACGTACCCGAATGATGTCGTATTAGCGGCCCCTTTCAGAGCAACATCCAACACCGCCAAAGTATGACTGCCCTCATATAAGGTACCATGACGACCTCAAGTCAAAGGACCAATTCCACTACCGAACGTTAGAGATTAGCCACTGACACTCAGATAGTTATCCATGTGGAATCTCTTAGCGGGTCTCCAATATTTTGTTTTATAACAAAACATCCACGTGTTCATTTAAGTGTCACCACACTTTAACTCGTGAGATCAGCTACTTACTTCACAAGTAAGAAATGTCATACGTGATGGTCTAACTGTATTAACGATATCCGTATCTCGTTATTACTTACGACCATGGTTTATTCAAGATCCAATTATATGTAATTTGTATCTCACAATCACAACTCCTTGTGATTAACAGATTACCTAAAAATTGGATCTTCGGATTCTATTATTTAATATTATTTATCACAAAATTAATTTAAATAAATAATAGATCTCGCCAAAATCAAATGCATTAAATATATTAAAAGCGTTTACAACCTAAATCGATTGGATCTAGGGCATAACACTTACATATTCAAGATCTTAATATAATAGATGAGGTTATAGCTTGTTCGAAGTCAAGTATCGATTTGAAAATTTTACGTAAGAGGCTCATACATTTAATTGAAATAGTGAAAGTTATATAGAGAAACAATTTGAAAGGCATTAGATACAAAAAATCTGATCCGGCTAGATTTTCTCAATTGACACTGCAATCTAAAAATAGTTACCTGGTATGAGAAAATTAGATATGTTATTGAGTAGCCCTTTCCAACGGTGTCCATTGAGGACTCGACTAAGTAAGACGTGACCGCACGTACAATAAATTTAGTGATGACGATAATATTGCAACATATGTGATGCTTGCAGCTATTTTACATGAGTTGCAAAAACAACATGAGAGTATGGAAGCTAACAATATGATTCTTTTCTCAAGGAATTGTATGATGAACAATCATGTAAGGAAAGATATGAGACTTCCAGACAATTATATCGGTGCAAATGGCAGAAAGGTCTTCTGTCGGTGTTCATGTACTAAAGATGATTTGTTACATGTAGAAGTTGGCTCAATTGGGTTTAGTCATAGACCATGAACTAAGTATAGAATTGGTCCTGCAATCTCTATTAGTGACATTCACTTTTATTATGAATTTTAACATAAATAAGCTGGCATGCATTTAACTAGAATTGTTGAATATGTTTAAGACTATTGAGACCAATATCAAGCTGGTTGTAGATAGGTTTTGACCATTGATTCTTCTAAGGACACTAAAAGGAAGTCTTTGGAAAAGCATCCAAGAAGGCTAAGACAAATAATAAGGCAATCAAAGCAATGAAGAACAACATCAAATTTGATGACCCTTGCTATCATTATAGAATTAAAGGTCATTGAAAGAGGAACTGCACAACTTACCTTGCGAGCTTTAAGAGAAAGAAGTCTTCTGAAACTTCTAGTTAGGGTATCTTTGTTATTAGGGTTAATATGTCTATTTCATTAGCTTTTTGAGTATTAAAAACTAGATGTGGATCTCATATTTATATAAATATGTAGTAACTAAAGAAAAACAAACAATTGCAGAAGGAAGAAGTTGACGAGCGCGTTGGAAATGGAGCGAGGGTTGCTACATTAGCTATAGGGATTTTTTTCTTACCATTACCTTTGAGCTTAGTATTAGATTTGTTCCAGCCATTACCTAGAATATTATTTCTATTTCATGTTTGGACATGAAAGATTTTACAATTAATGTTAAAGAAAACTGTTGCTCATTTTATCTTGATAAGAAATTGAATGGTAGTGGTAAATTACAAAATGCCATTTATATTCTTGATACTAGGTTTTCTATTATGAGTATAGAATATAAAAGCATAAAAGTATGACCTCAATAAAGAAAAAGTTATGATTACAGGGAATTTTTGACAAAATTTCTACCTACGCTGATGTAGTCACAAATGATTAGATTGTTTTCTTTTTCCTCTTTCTATCTTTCGATCAAAACCTACCATGTATTGTCTATCACAATTTTTTTATCAATTTTTCTGTACTTGTAGCATAATTGCCTAAATAATGCCTCTCTAACATTGCAGCCTATGTCATATAAATGAAAAACACAACGTAAATTATATAGGGATCGGTATTTGGGGTCAATTAATTTTGAATAATTTGACAAATGTTAGTCATGCTTGCTAGATAAGATGATCAAATCACATTTTACTGGAAAGGAGAAAGAGTTGCACAATTACAAGGCCAAGTATATATGTGGTTCTCATGTGTAGAATTTATTTTAAAGATTAAAAAAATGAATTTAAAAGATTATTTATGTAATACTCCGAAATTTTATGCTCGTTTAAATTTCTTTAGGATAGCGATTTAACTTTCAATATTATTTTGGCCATAAGAAAAGGGGGCACCACCTTTGTAGTGGTTAATGCTAGAGGTAGTTAATGAATATCGGCATGAAGTGCTAAATGTTGTGTGCGCATGAAGTGATTATTAGTTAGTCGAAAATTAAGTCAAGTTTGAATTTGAATGAAGTGGATTATTTTGTTAGGACTTCAATTGATCAAACGATTAAATTATTTTACAATCTACAATTTTTGAATATGTAAGTTGGATACAAGTTTAAATTTGGGATATGCTTTGCTAATAATAAAAGTTAGAGGGGTTAGATTATATTAGTTGAAAAGATAAGAGACTTCCTTTGTAAATCTAGGTTTTGTAGCCACTTATTACCCTATAATCAACCCACTTGTCATCCATCATCACCATACACTTAGATAATAGACTAAACATGTGTAGAAACAAGAAAAAAAATGGAAAGAAAGAGAGGTGAGGCGGTGGAGATGGAAAAAGGAGGAAAAATATCAATCATTTATCCTTATCTTTATATATGCATATATATCCATATCCATTGCCATAGAGAAAAGATTTCCTTCACTTTGCAAAACACTTATACACTCAAATAGAGAGCAAAACCGAAAATAAGAAAGAAAAAGAAAGGGAAGTAAGCCTAACACTTTCAATTCATATTTCAATCGAAGATCTTCAAGTTTTACGGTAAGATACTTTTTATGCTTAAGGGGGATGATCTTCATGGTAATATTTATGCTTAAACTATGCATGAAAAATCATAATATGATTATGGTGGACAAGTCCACAAAGTTAGATATCTATTTATGCCTTAGGACAAGTTCGAAGGGCACCGACAAGCCGGAATGTGCAAGTATGGGTTTGATTGCATTCTTTTGTGTAGTATTATCATGATAAAAATCCAAGCATGGTATCTTACTGAGTATTCCTTATACTCATAGTATGTTATGCTAAATTTTTAGATCCATGATCGTTCGATTGATGGAAGTTAGTTGACAAAATCGATGATGGATTAAGGATAAAGATGTTTTGTACCGAAAGTTTCTTTTGTGTATTTTGTTCGATGACTGTTTTTCCATCTGTTTTTCTTATGGTATTATGTAAAAATATGTACATGACATGATGTAATATGGTATTAATAGTAAATTTTGTAATTATATCTTTCATGTTATGTTAAGAGACATTTTTGTAGTTTATTGTTTTTACAAGAGACAAAAGGTAGAAACGGGACAGTTTCTGGAGTCAATTTCAAAATGATGTTTCTAACTCTATAAACGTCCATTTGAGACTCTAAAAATATTTCTGTTTTCCTCTTTGAGTTTTCTAAATATGGCCGAAGGAATCACTCAATTTGGATATCTATGGCCTGAGTTATCAAGGTTTTGACGTCAAGGAGTCAATCTGGATTTCCTGTGTAATACTTCACTGTTTTCAGTAAAACGTCTATATCATATGATCTTGGAAAATTTTCATATTTTAACCTAGAAAACTACTTGAAATTATCTTTCTAATGCCACAAATTTCATGTAAAATGGAGTTGGGATGAATTTTATAAAAATTGTCAAACTTGCTGCCCCAACTAACCTTGATAATTACATCCTTCGCTTCTAATAAAGAATTTTGTCTCGAGATTTCCTTTAGTTGTTAAGGAGTTAAGGGTAATCGACTTTAGTTTTTAACTTCGCATTTCTCCTCCGCCTTACGAGAGTTTGAACTTTCTAGGAGCTTTATGTATATTATATCTTATTGAACTATAAAGAAATGAAAATATCGTTGATAATTGCTAACTCTAATCACTTTAAATCAATGGATATAAACAAAATAACCAAATTAAAATTAAAATTTAAGTTTAGTGAGCAGCTCAAATAAAATACTTTGACTAAAATGAAATATCGTTAAATTTTTAATCCGAAAGTTTTGGAAACGTCGATTTAACCAAAAGATGGAAGTGATTAGATCATATATCCAACGGCTGCCTCCCACGCATTTTATTATGGTCAAAACTGTTGTGTTCATCTTTGAGTGAGTATTTGGTATATAATAATTATGACTTGGTCCAAGTCAATTCAGCTTTTGCTGGAAAAATGAAGCTTTCTGTTTTCCCCTCATCCACGGGCATTCACCTCTGGTTCTTCTAAAATTGCCCAGAATTGGATAAAGTTGAGGTAATTGATTTCTCTGTTCCGGTTATATATATATATATACACCCCCCCCCCCCCCCCCCCCCCACTCTTTTTTTATTTTTTATTTTTTTATTTTTTTTATTGTGTGTGTTGTTAATGGGGTGCGGGGTGCGCAGGGCGGGTAAATTTCTCCTGTAACTTGGAATTGAAAGGTGAACCAGCTATGACTAGGGTTTATGAATTTTCTTTTATCTTTTTTCATAAGAATTTCTTGAATTTTTTTGAATCGATTGCTTGCTGAGTGGTATATGTGCTTATTGTTCTTCGAAGAAACTAGTAATCCACAACAAAGTGAAATGAATTTATATAATTGAGATGAAAGGTTGAAGAAGTAAAAATTTGGAGGGCGAAGAGGGAATTGTTTTATTTCTTTTTTGACAAGATGAAGACGGAATTTTATTAGTTCTAGAAATAGTATATTTTCGTGCATATCCACTTTGAGTCTGCTAATGAGCAATGTTAATTGCATATTCGGTATGTGTGCTTTATTTGGTCTCTTCATTCCAATAGTACACGCAAATTAGAAATTAAGCAAAATTTTAAAGCTGAAATTTCCTGGAGAATTAACTCATCTTAGTGAAGGATGTTGGGAACATAGTAGAAAAAACAACCAACAAAGGAGTTCAATAGTTGAGGAACCCAGTGATCTTGGTTGATGATATTGAGGTGGAGAAATGATAACCTATTATTTAATTTCAACTTTTCAATTCTGGATTTCTGTTTTATGAGCAAAAGTTGTTCTTTTTTTTTTTTTTTTTCCCTTTCAACAGTCCTGCTTCAATTACTGTGTGTATATGTAATAAATTTCACTAGCCGGCAGCCCAATTTCTTGTCTTCTCTGTGCGTGTGTCTAAAGATTAATTGGCTGCTTCTTTCTTCTCCCTTGTTTGTGCCGAAATTTCCCTTCCCACATAACCAATTTTTTTAAATTCTACATAATATTGTTTGGCTCTGCTAGAATCTTTTTGTGTTTTGTTTTGAATGACTATTATAAAATGCTTTGCCTTGGAAATAGATAGAGCTATTGAAAATGGGAATTGGCTTACCACCTTTTGCTGTTAGTGTTTATTTGCATTGGTGATTACACAAGAAGCTCTGCCTTTACATGGTGTCTACTATAACTCTTATTCACTTGATCTCATTATAGAAGACATCTCTGAGAAAAATCCAATTTTTATGCACAATGGCTTGTAGAACCTGTATGAATGTATCAGCATGTTGATAACTTTTAAGTTTTTATGTCCTCCATATACATAATAGGGTAGCATATGATCTCAATTTTGTCCAGAGACGTAATATGTTTTAGTGTCTAGCATTATTGGATTACTTTGAGTTACAACATTGTCACTTGTTGGTCTCTTAATTAATTTGCAGTGCATCTCTCCAAAGCTTAACTGTTAACCATTTTTACTTCACCATGAAAGAGAATTTTATATTTAAATAACCTACTAGTTATACGCTCTATCCTATCAGTACTTCTATGAGTTGACATTTTTTCTTTCCTTACTATTTCATTTGACTTGCATTTTTCTAGTCGAGCCTTACACAGAGGCTAAACATTCATAAATGTACAAATTCATAAAATGAGAAAATTATCTGCCAATGAGTGTTTACTACTGTTTTGGAATTTTGTACTTCCGATTAGGAATGATAACGAGGTGGGCCAGAGCTAGCGAAGCTCCCCCTATCCCGGTCCCCGCTTAAGGCAGGGACAAGGTGGGTTCCCCAGTCCCTGTTTAGAGCCCCATTTATTTTATCTATAAAATATGATTTTAAGTCATAACTCATAATATTGATGGCAAGAAATTATATCTTTGCACAAGAAAGTAAGGCCGGACAAAACTTTCGAACCGACCGAACCGAACAGAGTGGCTATTCTTAAATTAAATACCCGAACGGGCATCTAAATCCAGAATTGACATGTTTGGTTTGGTTCTCGATTTTAGATTAAGACCCAAAAAAATCGAGTGAGAATCAAGTCTCCCTAGGTTTTTTAATTAATTTATTTTAAATAAGCAAAATTATTTTATTTTTCTAAATAAATTTGCTAACTAGTTAATTTAGGTCAAACAAAAAAATATGATTTTCCTATTTCTAATTTTCAGTTCAAAGCCAATTTAATCAAATTGACCTAAGTTTTATCTAAATCTGTGACTCTACCGTGGTGTCGTTTTTACCGTTTTGGAGAAATCGAATTAAAGTTCGATAATGCCTCTCTTTATTATTTTGAGCTTGATATCCCATTTCTGTGATTTTAACAATCAAATCTATGAAAAACACAGCCAAGAGAGACGCAAAAGATACATAAAATTGGACTACGATATTTTATAAGAGTTAGATTGAACGTATCATTAGTTGACTCAATGTAACTTTGTAAATATTAAAAAATTTAATTATAATATGGAACCTGGGAACCGAACCATATTCAGCCTTACAAGAAAGAAACTTACAATAAAAAATCACTGCAAGTAGGGGAAAAAAAGCACAATCTAAGAACTTAGGTATTGAAGAGAATGAAATTCAGCAATTAGGCATTACACATAAGCTTAAATGAGCTCAGAAAACAATTAAATTAAGTGAAAGTTACACAATAACAGGTGTTTAAATATTACTTTTAAAAAATCATGTGCAAAGTTTAATTAATTAAAAATCAGGTGGTATTTATATAACTAATCAACCTAACCCAACCATTTTCAAAACCCCTTCTATCTCTCCTATCCCGTCTCCTTGTCTCCGTTGTTGGTTCGATGACCACGCCAGACGTGTGTGTATGGTCCTGCATTTCTCTCTACCTTCATTCTCTATACAGCATCGACAAATATGAGTGCAGCTCGCTTCGCCGCGACAAGTGTCGATTTGAGCGCCATTTGCCTTGCCGTTGTGAAATCTAAGCACCGCGGCCGTGGTATCATCATTACAGCATTAGGCCGATCACCTTCTCTGGGATCCCACCACCTATGTTGGGGCAGTGTTTGGCTCTCTGTGGTAGTGCTTGGATCTGAGCGTTGCTACGACGAATTGTGCACAGGCTTAGATCGACGCTCGCTGCAGCAATGAAGACGGCCTCGAATGGCCTTTTGTTGACCAGTTTCTATGGTTGTGGCTCTGCCGGTGCGCACTTGTTGACTAGTTATTGTGAGGTGGTGAGGGTGGCGGTGATTATCTGTTGTTGGTGTGTTTGGTGGTGGCGGTGTGGTGGTTTTGGGCGGCTGTGGAGGTGTTAGTGTTGGCAAGGGTGATGTGGTGGTGTTGGTGAGGTTGTGAGTTGGGCATTGTTGGTGTGTGTGGTGGTGGCAGTCGTGTGGCTATGGTTGTCTTTATTTTTGTTGGCATTTGATTTGATCTATTGGTGGCGATTTTGTTGGTGTTGGTGGTGGCGCTGTTGTGCTGGCAACGACAGTAATGGTGGTATGTGACTAACCATTTAGTTATTTATGACCAACAATTTAATTGTGACAAAAAATTTTGATAATTTGTGACCAATTAAATTGATCTTGAAATAATCTGTGACCTCTAAATTTTTTATTTATGACCTCGAAATAATTTGTGACTAATTAATTTGATAATATGTGATCAATAAATAAATTTTGACTTATAATTGTGTATCTATGATCATTAATTCTATAATTGTGATTTTATTATATTCAATTAATAAATATTTTTAATTAATTAAATATATACTTGAATTTTGAATTTTCAAACTATTTACCAGATTTTAGAATTGGTGTCAGTAATGCACCTGTGTTATGATTTTTTTTTCCTTAAAACAATCCCATATAAACACAGCGGATGCACAAGACATATTAGCGAGACAAATGGTTTGAAATTTCAGAGAAGAAATAGACAGATGTAGTTCATCTCTTTATAAATAAATATGAGAGACGGCACTAAAGAGTGAAGAGTGTGATGGGCCTGGTTGGTGGCTGCAAGAGAAAAGGCCGAGAGAGAGGAGAGTGGTGTTCATCTGAGCCCATTGTGTTTGTGAGAGTCTAAGAGAGAGATTATAGATTAGGTGCAATGTGAGAATTTGCATAGGTTTTGATTATTTTGAAAATTGACTCGCTCAATGCGCCTCTTGGGGACTTACTGATTTAGTCCTCTTCGTTTATGTGTTAGGTAATTTTTTATATAAAAGTTAAACTGGGCAGCCCTGTCCCCAAACTAGGGAAAATTTGTTTGCCCCATCCTTGCCTGCTAACCCAGCTAAATGGCGAATCCCAGCTCCATTTGGGCGGGGTCCGCAGGATCGGGTTTTCCCAGCCCCATTCTTTTCCCTACTTCCGATGTTGGTTTAGTGATAAATAATTTTTCCCCTTTTCCAATAATTTTTCTTGTTTTCATGTAATTGCTTAATAATTGAATATTTGCTACCATTTTGAATTCTTGCGATGTCCGGTGGTTTGTTAGCTTTAGATCAATTCTCATCTCCTGCTTCTCTCAGGATTCTGTAGATTCAAATGACCAATAATATTTTGGATTAATTCATATAGACACAAGAATTTAGGCTTTGCTGTTTTCATTTTGACTATGATTATGAAGCGTGGAGATCATTGTGTTGGCAGATGAATTGACTATATTCTTTTTTAGTGTACCTCTGGGTGTACTAAAAGGAAGACATTCTAAGATGATTTTTATTCAAAAGTTGCAGTAGAAACAGGATTCTGACATTGGATTTCATGAAACAGAGTTCAATTTGAAAGATTGCTATCAGTCTGTAGTGCCTCGTGACTGTTGGGCAAACTGCGGAAACTGAATACTAATCTGAAGTCAGACATCGCAGTCTTATCAAGAGGGATGGTGCATTCCCCCCTTTATTTTCGAGAAGATGTCTAGTGACATGCAGCGGAGACAAAACCAACCCACTGGCATTCAGTTGTTACAATCTAGTCAAGAAGAAAACTCTCTTTGTGCAATGCCAGACAGAGAATCAGGTGATTTTTTGCTGAAGCAGAATCTTGAGAATGGTAACCCTGCATCTCAATCATCTGTAACATCCACGCAAGAATCAAATGATTTGCAGCAGCGACAAAATACTGAAGTCAAATGCGGTGTATCAGAATTATGCGAAGCGGACAAAGCTGTATCTACTAAAAGGGTGAGCACTTCTGATATTATGGTTGAAACAAAAAGTTCAGATCCAGAGAACCAATATGATCAAGACCAATACATTTATTTTACAAGATCAGATAAAGCTATGGAGAAATTGCAGCCAAAGCAGAGCCCTGACACTGGAGTTCATAATTTACAATCAGATCAAGATAGTATTCCTTATGGAATACCTATAATCCCCAAAACACTTGATGATTTGCAGCCGAGACATAACCCTGATGCTGTTTTGCAAAAGCCAGAATTGGGGGAAGAAAGAATTGTAAATGTCAAGAAAGAGAAGGCTCCAGATGCTGTGCTGCCAGTACCAAGTTTCATATACGACATACCTGCATCACAATATCTTCAGCAGAAATCCACTTATTCTACTATTCCCGAGAAAGCTCTTGAGAAATTGCCGCCAAGGCGGAACCGTGACATTGTAGCCTGTGGTTCACAGTCTGATCAAGGAAGCACTCCCTCCAGTGTCTCTGAGGAATTGTCTGTTATACCAAAACAAGAATCTTATAATCCGCAGTCTAAACTATGCTTGGGTGCTGGATGCCATGATTCAATGAGCGGTGAAGAAAAATCTGTTTCTAACAAAAGAGAAATGGTCTCAGATAGTTTTCCACAAATACCGAGTTTGGAACTTGGGGGACCTGCATCACGTTCCGATCAACAGCATTTTTCATTTTCTGCAAAACCTGAGAAAGCAGAGAAATTGGCACCGAGAAGGAACCCTGACCCTGGAGTTCAAGGATTGCAATCTGATCCAGTAAGCACTCCCTCTGATGTACCAGGAAAATCATTAGATGATGGCTACAACTGGAGAAAATATGGACAGAAGCTTGTCAAAGGAAATGAATTTATTCGAAGCTACTACAAATGTACTTACCCTAATTGCATGGTGAAAAAGCAAGTGGAGAGATCATACGATAGTAATCTAAAAGATGTTAATTACCTTGGGAATCATGACCATCCTAAACCACAACACAGTCCCCATGTGGCCACTGGTCTTCTAGTTCGAAGACCAGAGTCACTGATCATGACTGCATCAGAAGGTAACTTTGATTACTTCCTAAATTTCAGCTTTGACTATTTTGAATTTTGACGTTTGGAACAAATCTTGACTGATTTAGTGACCTCTCAGGTGTTGCTGAGCCAATTTCACCTGGCGCTTCATCTCAACATATGGAACCAAGGGATACTTCACAGCCATTGCCTGTTGCAGAAACTAGTGATCGTGAGGCAGGTGCAGTTTCACGGTCAAGTGCTGAAATCTGTGATGAAAATGATAGCTGTCTAGACTCGAAAAAACAGTATGTTCAACCAGAAACTTTCCATGTTTCTTAATGAACTTTGCTATGGGCTTAACATTTTTGTTGCTGGACTAATGCCTTTGCAGGAAGAGAGAGATTTCTGGTGTTGATAATAATCTGAATAAACCCAATTCTGAAGCACGGCGTGTTGTTCAGACTATAAGTGAGGTTGATGTAGTGAATGATGGCTACCGCTGGCGAAAATATGGGCAGAAATTTGTTAAAGGCAATCAGAACCCAAGGTAATATAATTTTCTAAAATGCAGAATGACAATTTTTTGCTGCAAAGGTACACTATTAGCCATGTGGATTGCTTGTTACTGCCTGCCTTCTATAACATCATCAAAATCTTATTATGGGGGCAATAAGCTGACATTTGAGAGGCTACTTTCAAAAGACTTGCACCCAATTTTTGATGTGTAATTTATTACCAAATAGGGGTGGACATTATTTCCTAGATCCGGTGGAACTAGACTGGTTGCCTTAAGAACCAATAGTGAATTAGATTCTTTCTAATTTTTCTTTTTGCCGGTATATTGTACACATACGGACTCTAAAATTATCTCATGTCAAAATTTCACTTTTCATACGTTTCTTCTTTCTTTTACAGCAAAAGCTAATGCGTAGTCAATATTTAAATCTCAATAATTTTACAAATACTACAAAAATTCATAGCTTTAATTCAACCCTAATAGAAAAAACTGTATTTTTGGATTAATCTTTTGTAAGAGCTCAAATTTTTCATTGTTTTCAAAATAGTCGATCATCAGAATCAAGATCTCCTTGAAAATTATTTTAAAAAACTTGGTTATAAATACTACATGCATTTTTCAATATATATTGTTATATGAATTTTCTTAAGAAATAATTTTTGATCCAAATTTTACAGTTTATATTATGTTTAATATTTTTTTATGCCTCTATTAATTGATGTTGAGCTTTGGAGAGTATTTTTGTTTGAGTTTGAGTTTTACTAATTCTTAAAACGTCAAGATTTTGCTACATGCTTTGCATGAAATTAACAGCCTGCTTCAATTTTCTCTGAATAGATGGCAACATTAGATATGGTATCCTAACTTGCCTATATTTCAAATCCAAACCTGACAGATAGTTCTATGTAATTTAGAAAATGATTGTTTGGGACAATTTTATTCATTTTTACCCTAAAAAGTAGCCTAGAATTTGTGCATGTATCATGTACTATAAATTATAAGAAAAAGGAATGTATTTCCAAACAACTCAAAAATGAATTACGGTCATTCAATCCCGTATGGCAAATTATGATGGTGACCCACAAGCCTAGGCTTCTGAGGGAGATGGTTGGGTCTCCATCAATTGGTATTAGCGCAGAACCACATTACAGGTTTGAATCCCGGAAGGGGCGACCCAAGCGAAGTGTCGAGAACCAGCAGCCAAAGAAGGGCCGACTGGGTAAAGCGAAGATCGTTTTGGAGTGGGCCTCCGTGGACATCGGATTTGGGGCCGTAGAGTATTGTTAGGGTCTAATAGTTGTGGGATTCAATTATCCTCAAATTTGGGCTTTTGGGAGAGATGGTTGGGTCCTCCGTCAGAATCTTTCTATTCACGATCAACTCAGTTGCAGTTCATTTTCTACTGCTATATTGATTGCTCAATATGCACAACCATTCCACCCGGGTAGGAAATCATATGGATACATACACATTTTGATCTTATATGATGATAACTTATCCCAAATAAAAAAGGTGCAGGTCCAGATACTTTTGTAGAAATTATTTCAGTTATTTTGCTTCGTTATATTCTACTTCTATGTAAGCATCCTTGTTGCTCTAATCCCCACTCATTATGTTATGAAGGAGTTACTACAGGTGTACATATAATGGTTGCCCAGTTAAGAAACATGTGGAAAGAGCTGCCCATGATCCGAAGGTGGTTATTACAACATATGAAGGACAACATGAGCACTGTACGCCTCCATCAAAGACCATTTGCAAAAATACGGCTGGAACTGACACTAATATGGCTATAAATGGTGAACCCAGAGAAGACAAACCTGTTGGCTTAGACATGGTTGTTCATATTAATGCGAACTCGTAATATCTTCTGCAACACGAGGTTAGATTGGCTGCATCAAAATGATTCTGCGTCACATAGTATTTTCTTTTTTTAACATATTTTCTTATTCTCTAGTTGGGGCGGTTGAGATTATCCTGCCCTGTTCCGGGAGGAATGATTTATACTGATAACATTGGTTTAACTTCTTTGTTGGTCAGAGAGTCCAACTTTACGTTCATTGTAAAAATTATTTTAGTGAAAGAGTAATGGAACGTTGATGTTCACAATAGTTTGTCTGAATTTGTGTTTATTTTCTTGATTCTATAATTGGCTTTATGCTGTAATTTCATTTCCTCGAGGCTTTATGATTCAGTTATCCCATTGTTTGAATAAGAGGTAAAGAGCAAATTCCGAGGCTTATGATCTAAACCGAACTGAATCAAACTAAAATAAATTGGCTAGTCTAGTCTGGTTCTAGTTTGGTTCCGGTTGTTCCAGATAAAGAATGGCAAAGAAGAATTCACACTGTTGACTCCAAATCTATGTAGAATAATACTTAGTTTGATATTCTATTTTTGCATAAATTCTCCTGCAAAAACCTCTTTGCAGAACGGAAAGCAGATTGCATTTTTCAAAGATCTTGGTTACAAATTACACCAAAAGTTACAGAGCACATATTTGGTTCAAATATTGAGCCTTGTTCAGCATTTGGGGAAAATCAGGAAAATACAAATACGAATATGATTTTGGCTGAGACCTCAATACAGGAATATCACTTCCAAGCACAAGAAGCAATCAAATCTCTATTCAACCAACCAAGATATAGAGCTCCATCTCTTTCTTCAAGCCTATATTTATTGCAGTAGTTTTGAAGCAACATCCTGATTGTAGCGTTTACCAAAGAACTCAAGGGGTATGGACTAAAACCAGCCATTTTGAATCGCGACTTCCATTTCCCAAGAAGCTCGTGCCGTTCCCCCCTCTCCATTCCCTCACATGCTATAATGTTGACAACATCCCTTGCTAAACAATGTTGCTCAATGCTGATTCGCTCCTTGCGATCCCTGGGGAGAGTTGCATCAATTGATTCAAACATAGCTGTATAATAGTCTAGTGCTTCAAGGAACCTAGGAAAAAATGCTGCAGTATTCGTATTGGATTCTTGTTCAACTAAGGTCACCACTTTGGGATTTAGGCTTTTGACCAACCTCAATAAACCATCTCGATGATTTTCAGTGCTGACACTTTCATCAGGCATGTGATTTAACATGAATGCAAAATTCACTGCCAAGGCCTCACCAGGTCGAATTCCAAGATTTTCAAGCTGAATCTCACATCCGGACATGGCTGCAGAATGAAATTCGAAAGGTACTTTGAAAGTCTGAGCGAGCTTAGATAGCTTCTGTCCCACAATACACAGTCCTCCTCCACGTGCATACGCGGACGTAGAATCATCGATACCTGTAATCCTAATATGAGGTGGCCCTCCAGGTCGGGCTGCAAAAGCTTGGATTAGAGTTATCCATTGGCTCCCCTGTCGAATCTGAAAATCAATTATGTGCACTCTATTTTCATCCTTCATAGCTTCTGCGATGGCACCATTTGCAGACATGTATCCAAACTTGAAGTACGGGCAAACCTCATATAGTATGTGCATATAAGATAGCAGCTCAAAACTAGCAGGTTCTTTGCATCTTAGAGATTTATAGATGGTACTCCCCGAAGAAGCCATCCTGGCGACAAGCCCCTCCAACATGTAAGCTCCCAGACGTTGTATTGGTTCACCAGAAACTGACACTAGTTGACGCAACTCAGATATCAGCCATTGTGCCATCAACAAATCATTATTTGATATTGTTTTCGCACAGGCAATAAGTACCTTCTTCAAGTCCCCTATGTGAATGGCCTCCATCATTTGTCTCCAACTGTCTATATCTGGTGACGCTATAGTATTGCTCGATAAGGTATTATTGTAAGTTTCGAGAATGTCAAGATCAGGTCCCAACATTACAGTCTCGAGTTCTTTTAGTTTGTGCCTAAAATCATTCACATCTTCGGTTATGCAAGATCCACTTGTAGGGGAGCCATAGTTAGTGTCTGGCGAAATATGTGGCTTGGACATGGGACTATCGTCTGGCGAGAAATTAACAATAGACGGCGAGTTATAAAGAGTGCAATTAATGCTCATTGGGGATGACTCTAGTGTGCAATATTGGTCTTGAGAGATTTGAATAGAGAAGCTATTTCCCCCATTGCTGCTATTATTGTAGCTTAAATCTTCGCCAGAAAAATATGACCCCAACTTTTGTACGCGCAGATATTGCAATGCATTAGACATTCTTGATCTGGCTTGACGTCGTGATGCTTGCATTGAATTGAAAATGACACTCTTTCCTCTCTATGCTTTCTGATTGGCTTCCACCATATTTATATATCTATTCTTCCACGAAGGGGGCATACGATTTTATTTATTTATTTTTTTTTTTGGGAGAATCTGCAGCACCAAGAAAATAAGAAAACTTAACATGTTGAGAAAAAATTAAAATAAAATAAAATAAAAAATAAAAAATCTTGAACATGGAAAAACAGCAGAAGAACTAGTGAAGTTCCTCCCATATGGGAATTCAACAGCAAATATGAATATAAATACATGCTCCAGAAACTGCTAACTCATACAGTAATTAAGACTTCACATTATGCAGTAAATCCCTACAGAATTTCCTACATCTGCTATTCAGAACTACTACCAATTCTCTAAAAAATGAATTTTATATAAGCTAAACTCTATTCCAATAGATTCTTGTACCATAAGAAATCTACTGAACTTCTTAATCAAATACCAAGATAAAATAACTATTTCCCTAACAAAAACTTTGATCCTCAAATATACAAGAAAATTGATACAGTAGAACATGGATTTGAAAATAAATCCAGGATTAGCCCAAAAATAAATCTAATTCACAATTTATTTATTTGTTTATTTTTTGTAAAATTACTTGAATTAAATGAAAAGTTGTACCCGAATTCTAAACGAAACCCATAAATAACAAGGTCTCAAATTTCTCAATTATTGACCAAAGTACATAAATCCCCACCTTTTAAAGATCTAAGACCAACCCATTTCAGTTAAGCTCAAACCAGTTATGAACTTTAACTCAAGAGCTCCAATTAATCCTCAAACAGAAAAGAAATCCTGAATTGAAAGATGGAATTTATGTGAAACGTCATAAGAGAATATCATTTCAATAAGCCTTCAGACAAACAAACCTTAAGTTTGAAGAATCCTCAATCTATCAGACTAATATTTGATTTTATTGTATTGTAAAGCATTGAGCAAGAGGGAGAGAGGAATGAGAGAGCCGAAATTTATTATAGAAGGAACAAATAAATAAAGAGCCCTTTATATAGATAAACTTTGTAAAGGTAAAATGCAACGAAGCGTTTTGTTATATTTACATTCGGCCATGACAATATATATTGATCCAACTAAATAATTAAATACATTTAAAATATTTTAATTTTTAATATGGTATACATTGACCCAACTAAATACTGATAACAAAGACAATGAAGAAAATAATATAATAATTTGGAGGAAAGTTTGGTAAACACAAATGAAAAGAAAAATAATAAATACATATCGAAAGTAGAATTAAGTGTTAAAGATAAAGAGACTGTTAAAGTATTTAAAGTTTTATACACTTTAAATTGTAAAATATGCTATTTAAAAATAGAAAATCTTTTGAAAATGCTCTAATGCCACTAAAATTTTGTGGATATTTAAAATGATTTGGTCTAATTTAATAATGATAAAGAAAATAGAATAAGGCAAGCTAACTTCTTTGTTGTAACATGGAAAATGAGGAGAAGGTGCAAGCAAGTAGCTGGTCAAGAAATTGAAGTATTTTTTGGGGAATTTCAGTGGACTTTGGGTAATTTCGTGAAAAAAGGCTATAGAGAGACAACTTTTCATTTTTGTACTTGCCTAACCCCCTTCTCTTCTTTCCAAATACTTGTGAATTTTAGAGTACACGTGATAAGATGTTTTATAAACAAACATGAATCGAGGTAAATGAGTCATGAAGTGAGTAGTTCTTGTAGGTCCTATAATGTGTGAATAAAAAGTTATTCGATCAATTTTACAATTTTTTTTTTTTTTTTGTTGGATCAACATGTTTAAAAACACCTTCCAGAACATATGCTTAATGGCAAATCTCCTTCCTCCCCCCAGACATCTTTTTTTTTTTTTTTTTTGCAAGGACGGAATTATAATTATAGTTCAAAGTGAGTTAAGAATTTGGGGACAAACAAGCATTTTTTATTTAGATTAGCATTAGTTATTATTAAAACCCCTTAGAATATTGAAGTTTTTGGCTTTTGATTTTATAAGATAAGATTTCCAATAGGTTTCTTATTTCAATGCTTAAGGCGAGAAATTGACAAAAAATTGATATTGATGGCTGATGCTACAATAATTATTCTTTAATTCTTCATATATATATATATGTGTGTGTGTGTGTGTGTGTGTGTGTGTGTGTGTAAAAGATTGACACTTCTAGAAAATTACATATTTTAAGTAGTTTTGGGATAAAAATTAGATAGATGCTGTCAACAATGCATCTGGACAGTGTACAAGGGATTTTTCCTTGTACTTAAAGAGCCATGCTTGCTATATACTCTCGTGTACAATAAGTATGACAGCCCCTACGCTAATTGTGCAGCTCATATGAGGCTATAAGACTTGTATATGTACTATACAAGCGAAACTACCCTATTTTGAAAGCTAACCATGATTGTAAAATGTGTAGGATGCACATATGTAAGGAATTCCTTTTTCCCAAAGAAAATGACATTGGCATTGGAACCATTATACTAGCAGATGAGATGAGAGGGAATCTTTTAGTTTCTTTGTCTCCCAACTAAACTTTTTGGTCTGTCCTTTAAATAACACTTCTTACACTCTATTTGGCTTTTATACTTTAAGTTATCATGGCTTCAAATTGAGTTCTCAAGTTTTGCTTTTGTGCACAAGGTAACACGTATGCAATTAAAGTTCATAAACTATTGATCAAAAAAAAAAAAAAAAAAAAAAAAGTCGAAGAATTGGTATCGAAACCAATGCACAATGATGAAGAGTACATGCTCCACCTGTAAGTTAGATTAATTTTAGTGTTAAGATGTAGTCAAATAGACACAAGTGGAAATTTAACTATTTGTAACGCGTAAGGAAAATGATATGCATTGAAGGGAAGTCGGAGAACTTCGAAACCGATGTTCAATAACAAATTGATATGCTACGTCCTAATTTGCCACATTCATATGTCAGACTCTAAACCCAAGTTGGACATATTGACACGTCATGCTTGTTGTCTTGTACCTTAAAACTATGTTGAATCTTATCTATGTTTTTTTTTTTTTTTTTTTTTTTTTTTTTTTAT